CTCCCATCCTTAACCTCAGCCGCCGGCCACACTCGTCTGACGCTGACCGCAACACGAGCTCCTTCTCTCTACTCTGAAGAAACTTGAGTTACATTACCTGCTACGCTCGATTATCAGAGGGGCCGCTCGATCATTGCTACCTATGACGCCAACGGATTGGTACGCTTCTTGCTCTTTCTCTCTGTTCTCTGCCCTTTTGCGTAGCAACTACCTTAGTTTCGCTCTGCCCATGGCAGTTATAAGGAATTGGTGTTCATGGAAGTCAGCGAAATCAGAGTTCGGTTCCATATTGTGCCCATATCTTTTATTATAAATACTATTTCCCGCTTTTAGTCTATATCTTGACAAAGTTTCGAGCTTTCATGCCTGTCTAGAGTTTACCGAGTTACATTGTCGTTGCAACAACTTCTGCTTGTCCTATCTAGTCTTGATGACTGCTAACAGCTATGTATTGTGATGCTGGATGACAAGATTTACATAGGAATGACCGAATGTGTGTTATCTGCTTTCTTTTTATGGTAAAATCCGGTACCTGAATGCAAGTATGTTGGTCTCTTAAATCCTGTAACTCCTAATTTGAAGTAGGAAGATCTTAAATTTTAGGTGAAGAGATTGGCTATCAATTGAGTACCTTGATTGGCTCAAGTAACTGGAAAAAAAGAACATCTCATTTAACTAATTTAATGATGGATGCAACCTCTCTAATCTCTATCCCCTCTAAGTCCTTGCTTTTGGACTAGATACTTTGCACGATGGGCCTTTCCGTTCTCTGCATATGCTTGTTGCGGAATCCTCTCGCAAGATCCAGCAATTCCAGCCATGTCAGTTTTCTAGTGTTAAAATGACAAATTTTGACAGTAATCAATATCATATCCACCTGAGATACGTGAAGATATTATAAGCTTTATCATGATTCATGATAGAGAAGCTTTATTAGCTTTATTGTTATTCATGATAGAGAAGCTTCTTGATAAAGCTTTGTTACCTTCACATGTGACAGATGGATTTTGGCTGAGAATTCATCCCTGTCTAACTTTGACATTTTAGTGCTAGGAACTTTGAAATGGTAATACCATACCGTGGATACTGGCATCGCAGGGTCTAGTGAAATTATTTTGGCACAAGCACATTCCGAACAAGGCAGTCAGCTTAGACAATGAGAATGATGAGGTTCATCCCACAAAGTATCTATTTCATAAGCAAGAACTTCGTGGGGATGAAGAGTGCTCTCTAGAGTCATGCGATTGTTGAAAAAGGTGTTCTGGTTATTCAGTTACCAGGGTACTTGCTTTGAAAATTATTAGATAGCCAACTTCTTGGCCTGAAGTGATATTAGACCTGTTGTTCCATGATGCCTCAAGAGTTTGCATAATTATGATTGACTGGTTGTATGGCGATGACAATTCGAGAATAGCATCATTCATACTATATAGGTTTCCGAGGTTCTGCTCATCAAGCTTCAGCCTTTGCGAAGTAGAACTAACTGGTGCTCGTATTTGCCTTCTTTAGCAGAGTTATACCATAGTGTGTGTTCGCCAAACACGAAGTTTGTCTTTAGTAACATAGTCAGTTCTCAGCTGCACACTGGTTTTTTGTCTGATTGATGTTTGTATGGATAGCTATCCACCAGTTTATTGCAATTGCTTGTCTAAACTTCTCTTTCATGTGTGCATTTATTTAGAACATCAATTAGCCATTTTCATAAGCTTGTTGCAGTCCTTCCTTGTCGACCTTTGTGCCTCAGCTCAGATTTATGTAATGCTGATAACCCTTATGAAATTTGGAGTCCTATTTGGAATTATCTCGAGTTTATCTAGTTCGTAGTTTTAAACTTAGATGTAATTATATTTGGGTGCGTTGAGCTTTGATATTTCATGTTAGTTATTGTATAAGATTGTGCTTGATGTCAGCCGCATAGAGGAGAACACAGCTATTTGTTGTTTATATATATATATAACATCTGGAAATTTATCTAGTTATAATATAAGTTTCTTTGGATAGTAAGATTTTAAATAGAAGTAGGAAATATAATTTTCTTTGGAAAAACGTTCGCAAACCTAAGGCATTTCTGTTTTCTGAGTCAGTTTCAATTCTCAGCATTTTCGTAATTGTGAGCCAACAAATTATTATTGTTTCCAATTCCTGTTCAGCCCTCAATTCTTCCCTGTTTTTACAGTGATACCAAGAGGGACTAAACTGGTTAAGAGGCTGGTTGGAGCTTAGAAACCAACTGTAGGTGAGATGGTGAACATGAGACGACTCACCATTAGCCACAATGCTTACGTTCTTCTTAAGATACATCCTCATAAATTACAGCTCCACCAACATTTCTTCCCTAGCATCAGTGGGTTGTCCAAAGTTAGTAACTCAAGCACATGCCTAACACATTCTCTTGCCATATCATCCCAGTGGGTTGATGAGGCTATAGTAAGCAGACTTGAATCCAACTTGCAGCAACTATGTTCTGGAACGTCGAATCTTGTCAGGCAAGGGAAGCAAGTTCATGCCCAGTGCGTACTCCATGGATTACTTGACAATGGGCTGCTGGGGCCAAAGATCTTGGGGATGTATGTTCTCTGTGACAGCTTCAGGGATGCTGTCAAAATGTTTTATCAGGTCCCTTTACATTATACCATGCCTTGGAATTGGATGATCAGAGGACTTAATAAGCTGGGTCGCTTTGATTTGGCCTTACTATTCTACTTCAAAATGTGGACTTGTGGGGTTTCTCCTGATAAATACACATTCCCTTCTGTAGTGAAAGCCTGTGGTGGGTTGAACAATGTGGCACTGGGAAAGTTAATTCAAGATGATGTTTTAGACATGCGTTTTGATCTGGATATGTACATGGGTAGCGCGTTAGTAAAGCTGTATGCTGAGAATGGGCATCTGCAGGATGCTCGTCTACTGTTCGATAGAATGTCTAAAAAAGATTGTGTTTTGTGGAACGTGATGCTTAGCAGTTTCGCAAAATATGGGGAGTCGGGTAGCACACTGAAAGCATTCAATGAGATGCGAAATTCGGGAATCATACCAAATGCAGTTACGTTTGCTTGCGTTCTTTCTGTCTGCTCAGCAGATGCAATGATTCGATTCGGCTCTTTGATTCATGGACTTGCTGTTACTTCTGGGTTACAGTTCGATCCTCATGTTGCAAATACACTAGTCTCCATGTATTCTAAATGCAGATGGTTGGGTGATGCACGCAAACTGTTTGATAGAATGTTGCAAACTGATTTGGTTAAGTGGAACTGCATGATGGCTGGACTGGTGCAACATGGGTTTATGGAAGATGCTTCAAATTTGTTCAAGGAGATGATATCTGCAGGCGTTAAACCAGATGGACGGACATTTGCAACTTTTCTTCCATCAGTTACAGACTCCATGAGTTTCTCGCTTGGAAAGGAAATTCATGGCTATATAATTAGGCATGGTATAAGTTTGGACGTCTTCTTGAAAAGTGCACTTATTGACATTTACTGTAAGTGTAGGAATGTGGAGATGGCCTACAAGATTTATAGCCAAAGCAGCAGCATCGATCTGGTAATGTCCACGGCTATGATCTCAGGGTATGTGCTAAATGGCAAGGCCAATAGTGCTTTAGAAGTGTTTAGGTGGTTGCTACAGGAGAAATGAGTCCAAACTCTCTTACCATGGCAAGCGTCTTACCTGCATGTGCCAGCTTGGCAGCTCTGAAACTGGGCAAGGAACTGCATGGCAAAATCCTGAAGGATGGGCTAGTATTAGAAGGTAATGTTCATTTAGAAAGTGCTGTTATGGACATGTATGCAAAATGTGGAAGGTTGGATCTTGCTCACCAAATTTTCAGAAGAATGCATGTAAAGGATGCTGTTTGTTGGAACTCCATAATCACTAGTTGTACCCAGAACAGCAAACCAGCAGAGGCCATAGAACTGTTCCGGAAAATGGGAAAGGAAGAAGGACTAACATATAACCGAGTGACCATCTCTGCTGCTTTATCTGCTTGCACAGACTTGTCCTCACTCCAATATGGGAAACAGATACACACCGTTTTAGTCAAGAGCGCAGTTGATTATGATGTGTTTGCCCAAAGTGCGTTGATAGACATGTATGCCAAATGTGGTAACTTGAAACTCGCTCGGTGCACGTTCGACAACATGGAAAATAAAAATGAGGTTTCATGGAATAGCGTCATTGCTGCTTATGCTAACCACGGTTGCCTGGATGAGACTCTTACTTTGTTCCATGGGATGTTGGAAACTGGAATTCATCCTGATCATGTCACATTTCTTGCTGTAATATCTGCTTGTGCGCATGCTGGCCAAGTAGATGATGGAATTCGATACTTCCATTACATGACTGAAGAATTTAAGATCTCTGCTAAGATGGAACACTACGCTAGCTTAGTAGATATGTTTGGCCGTGCTGGTCAGTTGAATGAAGCATATGGTGTCATAAAGAGCATGCCTTTCCAACCTGATGCCGGTGTTTGGGGCACTTTGCTTGGTGCCTCCCGTGTCCATGGCAATGTTGAACTTGCTAAAGTGGCTTCAAGTTACCTGCTTGAGTTAGATCCAAATAATTCGGGATACTACGTACTCCTTGCAAATGTTCATGCTGATGCCAGTCAATGGAAAAGCATGCGTAAAATACGAACAATGATGAAAGAAAGAGGAGTTCAGAAAGTGCCTGGTTACAGTTGGGTTGATGTCGACAAAAGCACTCATATGTTTGTTGCTGGTGACGGAAGCCACCCAGAGTCTGCCGAGATTTATTCATTGCTGGAGAACCTCCTTATTCCAGAGCTCAGAAGAGAGGGTTATGTCCCTCACCCTTACATTCCAGTGCATCCCCAGGTGGTGGCTCTTTGATGCAGATTTGTTTTAGTCAATTATGCATCAGGATTAGGAATTCAGAATGCAGGAGAATCTTGGTGTATGAATCAAGATTAGAAATTTAGAATACAGGTGAACAAATAATAAAACCAGACACAGTCCAAAGTTTGCAACTTGTTCACCGACTATTTACTGGGTAACACTGTCTGGAGCATAGATTTTGGGTTAGCACTTACAGATACTACTGCGGGTCTGCGGCCTAATCTGCATAGTATACTGATCGGTTGTCTCTTGTGACAAGACGAACTAGCCTCTTGTGCCACTATCTCCAGTTGTTGCTCAGTATCTTCATCCGCTTCTGTGATTGGCTCTCGAGTCCATGCTTCTCCTTCTTCATTCATTCCCCTGGGTCGTTCCTCTCGCCATCTCAATGCTTCCCCTCATTTCAATGGTTAGTCTGTTCATTTTCCCTTTTGCCACTTTCTTCATTTTCTGTTCAGTAGGTCTGACTAGGAATTTTCTTGGATGTAACAGCTTACTTGGCAGTAAATGCAATTAGGCCACGGAAGCTCTCTATTGTTGCAGTTGCTCGAAGTGCAATAACATTGCCTAGCAATTACAAGGGAGACAAATCACCATTGTCCAATTCTTTGGAACCTGCTTCTATGGTTTATAAGCCTGAAACCGCGGGGCCAGGAAGAAGAGCCTAAAGAAGTATCGGTATATGATGAAGGTTGAATTCGTGTGTGTAACAAGCTAATTGAAGTCTTCATGGTGGATAACCACTCCAACTGACTGGAGAAGGTTGCTTAATTTTAATAGGGAAAGGGACATTTCTACAGGCGTTGCCAGGAACGAGCAGATAATGAGGCTGTCCTGGGATGAAGCATATTTCAGTCAGGCTTTCGAGGAAGCTTAAAGAGGTGGGTCCCCCCTGCTTCTCATAATTGTTATAATCTGAGATATATTGGTTTCATGAAGCATATCCTTTCCTATTCTGGTTCCTATTTTGAGATTTGTTCTGAAGAGAACACTATGCTTTAATTGTCATGATAATTCACTAAAATATGCTTGTTTACTAAATAAAATTTCCTACATTAGCTCAATTCATCATTTGAGTTCCGTTTAACTTATGACAGATTGATGAAGATGTGCAGCGGCATAATGAGCTTCTGGCAGCTATCAGGAAGGCGCCAGCTGAGCTTAGTGAGATTATTTCTAGGCGGCGGATGGATTTTTACTAAGAGATTTTTTTGCGCGTTTATATACTGTGTGGTACAGTCATATAAAGTGACAAAGCTGAACAGAATGGTGCGTCTGAATTCTCTTATGCTTTATTCTGTTGCTTGTGAGGGCATTGCATTTTCATTCAAGAATAAAAATATTCTGATTTCTTACCTGCACAAGTCTGCTTCAAAGTCCTACTCTGGTGAATACTTTGACAAGTTCAATCAAATTGTTAGCTCAAGGATTATGGATCATGTTGCTATATAAGAACACGTTACATGGTTCTAACCATGAATTGATCCTCTAATTAACCATATGCATTTCATATGCTATATTATGCTTATTTTGCTCATTGACCAAGTTCACAAGCTTCTACATTTAGGCATACCAATAACTTTATCTTGATTCTTGCCTTCTTGGCCATCCACTTTGAAGCGTGATTGTGTTTGCATGGAACTATCTTATGCAATTTATTATTTCTATCTTGACACGGAGTTGTTTATTTCTTGCCAGCCTCGGAAAAACTGGCAATGACTGTAGCTGTTGTAAAAGCCTATGATAATGCAACAGAGGATATTAAAGAAATTTATACCGCAGACCTGAAGTTGCAAAACATTATCGATTCCCCTTCTTTAGATGCTGCATGCCGGAAAATAGATGATTTTGGCACAAAAAAAAACATAAGTCAACTGGATTCAGCATTGGTATTGTTGCCCAGTGAAGCCTGGTGGGATGCTAAGGAGACCAATATGACTAAAAATGAGGTATAACTGTCTTTTGCTACAGTGAAAGTCTCTTTCTGGTGTATGCCTATGAAGTTCCAACTGGAACATTATGCTTTGCTGAGCTGACATGTTTGGCCGTGCTGGTAAGTTGAATGAAAGCATATTGTGTCTGGGTGACATTGCCTGGTGCCTCCCGCGTCCATGGCAATGTTGAACTTGCTAAAGTGGCTTAACATTACATGCTTGAGTTAGATCCAACGAACAAACCCGGATACTATGTACTCCTTGCAAATGTTCGTGTTGATGGTAGTCAATGATAAAGCGCGCCTAAGATAAGAACAATTGATGAAAGAAAGAGGAGTTCAGAAAGTGCCGGGTCACAGCTGGGTTGATGTCGACAAAAGCGACTCATATGTTTGTTGCTTGTGATGGAAGCCACCCCGAGTCTGCTGAGATTTTCATTGTTGGAGACTCTCCTTGTTCCAGAGCTCAGAAGAGAGGGTTACGTTATCTCCAGGTGGTGGCTCTTTGATGCAGATTTGTTATAGTCAATGATGCATCAGGATTAGGAATTCAGAATGCAGGTGAATGTTGGTGTAGGCATACGGATTAGAAATTTAGAATGCAGGTTAACAAAAAAGAAAATGAATAACCTGCATTTTGTTTGACGCATCAGTCCTCAATCGATTCACACATAAGCAGGTTGATCCATAACCCGACTATTTTTCAATCAATAAACTCATAACCCAATTGACATATGACTTGTTGAACTCACAATCCAATTGTCCCGCAACCTGAATGCTGAATGAATGTACCTGCCCCAGCTTTAGCTAACTTTGAGGGTGCACTCATTTGGGATCATGTAATTGGATTATGATTTGAGACGATTGATGTTTTAGGCTTTTAGCCGCTTCTTTAACTTTGGTTTGATGAGCTAATGATTTTACTTGTATACCAACCAACTTCCTTGCAGGTGGAATCATGACAAAGACAAAACATTTGTCCCTTCATAATTACATTTTTATGCCTTGCCGTACGTTGCCGCCTATTCATCTATAATTTGATACATCCATCAATTAAACATTGAACTGTTTGTTTTGCAATAGTTTCGGTAACCACCAATGGGCTTTAATTAGGCAGGTTATGGCAATGTCAATGACAAACAGTGTAACTAGCCGTTACTTAAGTATATATTACTTATGCTTAATCTTTTGTTTCTATGATGTACAATTGTCAACTCACGACTCATTGTTGTTAACGATTTCATCTGGGGTAAATACAATTTAATAGCCAAACCTTTCATTTTAAACAAAATAATAGCCAAATCTTTTCGAAAACAATTTAATAGTCAAACCATTAACTTTCCGTCCAGTCAACTGTTAGTTGACTCTGACGTGACAAGTATTTGTACATGTCAGCTTATATTTTGTTTTATTATTTTTATTTATTATTAGTTGTACAAATGATTGAATTATGGAAACTGTCGATTTTTACAATTTCTCCTTTCGTTTAGTTATAATTAAATTATTTTTACAATAAATGATAAAAGTACAATATATAAGCTGACGTGTACGTGTATCTGCCACGTCAGAGTCAATTGGGCCACGTCAGAGTCAACTAACAGTCGACTAGACGGAAAGTTAACGGTTTGGTTATTAAATTGTTTTGAAAAGATTTGGCTATTATTTTGTTTTAAGTGAAAATATTTGGCTATTAAATTGTATTTGCCCATTTCATCTGTATTGAACAAGTTTTATTATTCATTAGTTTATAAGTATGTTGATCAAGGTATCTCACCAATATAGTTGATTCTATGTTCAATATTTTCATAATGAAAGCTTAATAATGAAGGAATAGTAACTTTCCATTTACACTTTTGACTGAGGATTCATAGTATGAGCCATGAGGTAAAGTTTTGACTCAATATTCAATTTTCATGTTTACTGGTCAATGCGTCCTACTAGAAAGTTCAATGTAAAAAGAAAATAACAAATAAACATTATGAGGAACTTTTTACTAGAGAAGGTTTTGAAAACAATCGTTACCATTTTTTATATTAAAATAATTAATGCACATATTAGAATAATTAATGAGAGTTGGACTGTTTCTGTAAAGATCCAAAATCTAAGTCAAGATTCACTGCGAAGGGGAAAACCCCAAAGTTATAGGGTGGCCAATTGTTAGCAGCAATGAAGTCCCATAGAGCAAAGTGTTATAGGGTTGGTTTACAACATCCTACCGTGTCGATAATCTCCCATCAGATTGAATTCGTATTCTTGATCTTGTTTCTCACTAACTTCAAAAATTTCCCCAAAGTAAAAATTTATAATAGTTTCTCATTAAAGTTGATGAAAACCACTCACAAGGGATTGAAGTTTGCACAGGTCTGAAGACAAGAATACCATGTGCTTAACAAATGGGGGTCACCGGGAATCGAACACAAGACCTCTCGGTCACAGAAGGCGCTGATACCATGTCAAGAACCAGTTGATCCCAATAACTCGAGTTGTTGGGAGAGGTTCAATCGTGGATCATATACCACAACACTAATTAACACGCCCCCTCAAACGAAAGCCACTCACAAGGGCTTGAAGTTTGCACAGGTCTGAAGACAAGAATACCATGTGTTTGACAAATGGGGGTCACCGGGAATCGAACACAAGACCTTTCGGTCACAGAAGGCTCTGATACCATGTCAAGAACCAGTTGATCCCAATAACTCGAGTTGTTGGGAGAGGTTCAATCGTGGATCATATACCACAACACTAACAAAGAGGTGGTTCACCCAAAAAAAGAAAAAGAGTCAAGAGAGGTTAGGCATGGGTGGTGGTGGGTGCATGTGGAGAGGATTAATGAGTTTAGGCATATAATCTTAGTTCGGTGCCTCCATCCACAAAATCGGGTTTGTTTATTATGGCTCTTGTTTCAAAACAGAAGATTTGTTTTGTGTTTTCCTATAAGGAAAGCAGGCAAAAAAAAAAAAGAAAAAAAATCCAATAATAGTCAAGTTTACAGAGCAGACAACAAAGGTTGTTGTCAAATAATAGTCCACCAGAAAAGACTTAGACTAGGAGGAGTCCCTTC